TCAATATAACTTGCTCGTTTTATAATCTCCGTCCAGTGAACGATTCTGAACAAGTAAAAAACCGTCCTTCTCCATTTTCTCCTCCCAAATCGACAGCACAACAGGTGTTCAGAGAAGGTCCGTTGCCTCCATTAATTCAAAGTAAGCTTCTTTCGTTGTTTGTCGCTGCAGTGCCTGAGCTCCTTAATATGCAGTTTCCGGATCTCTTCACTCTTGTTTTTCATTTTTTCCCTGTTAACCAAAGAAAAATATCTCATGTCTTGTCTTCCCTCGGTGATCCGGCCATATCGTCAGCCACTTTAAGTTCTGATTTTCATCGATTTCATTTTCTGATATCGTCAGCTCATTCTGTTGTTTAAATTTTGCCTAATTTTCGAAGCTGACCTTCCTGGGATCGATCATGGTCTTATTCTTCTGGGCATTATGAATGGCCGTACGTGCATCTTTTGCCGTTACGTAAACCTGATTATTTATGATGCCAAGATTAACACACACATTCATACAAAATTTTGCAATTTCATAATGGCTCATATGACATATATTCTATGCACTGAAAAAAAAAGCAGTAAATTAATTTTTAATGGAAGATTTAATTTACGCAAATTATGGTTGGATAAGATTTGGGATTTCTTGGTTAATTTGGACATATATTTCTATCTCTCTCTTTTATGTTACACTCCATTCAGACTGAGTTTTGCAAGAGTCCAGGCTTTAATTCTTTTCTAAGCGTGGTTGTCTTTGTCAGTACTCACCTTACTGTGGTACAAAATTTGATTGCATGTTTCATTTCCATGCCATGTTTTCTCTGTGCTCTGAGTTTTTCACCGTTATTAATGGTGATGCGATGCAGGATGTCAGAATTACCCTTCAGACCAAGAGAGAAGCTTATTGAGAAGCAAAAATATTTCCAGGGTATCCATAACTACACACACCTGAAAGCACCAAATGATAAGATCACATCTGTGGCAATACCACTTGCCTTGGCAGCTTCTTCAATCTTCCTGATTGTGAGTTATCTCTGTTTGAAATCGTAGTTCATCGCCTGGTCTTCATAGTTCTTTTGTCAAATTAAATCCAGCTCATCTTGGAAGTTAGAATATATCTTGCTTATATATATTGTTATGTGTCATGATACGCTTTCTGTTATTTCAAGGGAAGAGGGATCTATAAATATGCCCATGGAATAGGGAAGAAAGAATGACGTGGGAGTTCTTTTGAGCGAGATGAAACCTACTCGGATCGGTTTTGTATGTTTGTTTCCATTAATAAATTTGCTCAGTAGTTGCAAAACTTTATGGTCGCTGTGGGAAGTTGAAGTTGAGAGCTTTAAGGAAAATTTTGTTATTTCCTCCAATTTGCTTTGATGTATGCAATTTATTTTAAAAATTACTCAGTTTTGAAGGAAATTCTAGGTGTCCATGGTCACTTGCAAAACTGTGGTTAGACATTATCACAAATTCAAATCTCAGATAGGACAATTTCTCTTGGTTACCATATACCAGCATACAGATAGTCAACTGAGATTTGTGATCAAACTTGGTGGCATATATATATTGGCCACGGATTCCATTGCTGTTTTTTTTATTTTTTTTCCCTCTCACAAGTTACCAAAAGGAAGTCGCACGGACAGGAGAGGGAAAGAAGAGAATCAAGAGGGATAAAGAGGAAGGACAAAAGAGGAAAAAAAGTTTTAAAAAATTGAAACCAATCATTTAATCTGTTTCAAAGGTTAATAATCAAAATTATAGTCAAATTATGGTTAAACTAGTTATCAACAAAGTATTTTATTAAATCAGTTATGACACTAGTTTAATGGTTCAACTAGTTAGAATGATTCAATTTTCAATATTATATTGTTGGCTTTTGAATTAGACAAAAAATGAGATTGCTTGAAAAGACTAGAATGTCCATCAATGGAAGCTAGAGGCAGGAGGGCAATTAATGGTCAACAGCAAACAATGGCAATGACAGACAATGCTGGAAGTAGAGAGTAAGGTACTTAAAATCAAATTAATCATTGAATTGATCAAATTACATTAATTCGAAGATCAATAGTTGACATTTTAATTGAATCGTGGTTGGACCAAACATAAATAAAACATTTTATTGAACTAATTAATAATTCATCAATTTAACAAGCGGAGTTAACCTAATTTTAATACTATATGTGCTGGTGGGTGCAAATTAATGGTAGCTGAAGTTCAAGGGCCGGAGGAGAAGCGAAAAGAAAAAAGAGAAGGGCACTTTAATATCTTTTAGTAAAGATTGTATTTGTGTTGCTATATGTTATCATAACTTTGAATGTAAAGAGGATTATAAAATTTGAAGCAATGGAGTTAATTTTATAATGTAAGGCGATCATCACGTAAAAATGCAGCCAAATGCATTCAGCGTTGGTAATATATAATTACATCATTTCAAACAGTGATTAAATTCTTGATGAGAGATATGCCTCTCAAATAGAGGTGCTTGCAAATTGGCCGACTGAATTATATGGACCAATCTTGAGATACCAAGAGAAAACAATGAAACGAAAAAAATTGCATTAATTCTCGATCCATCCAAAACAAACAGGTCTTTGTGTTTACATGTTTGTTACAATAAAGTGGTGGGCTCGACACAAGATATATATACACCATGTTGATGGAACATCACTTCGCGTTTCGACACGTATTCACGTTGGCAACCTTTTCATTTAAACTGATAAATAACCATTCTTGTGTCGTTGCCTCTTGCGAGTTCCCAGGTATTCAATGAACTCCACCTATATATATATATATATATATATATAGAATTTACATAAAAATGCAATTATGCTTTTTATAACTTGAAGTGGGATTTTAATAGAATGTGGGTGTCTCGTGTGGTGGAACTAAGAATACAAGTAAGCCTGACCCTCCTTATAGGCTTAACCTTTAAGGACCTGAGTCCTAAAGCTTGATTTTTTATTTTGAGCTCTATTTTTTAAGCTTGGCCCATATGTAAAGGGCTCAGGACTGAGCCTGCAAGCCCTTTTTAAAAATAAAAAAATTAAAATTAAATTAAAAATTAATTAAAATATTATGAAATTAAAAAAAATCAAGATCCTCATAATTTTTTAGAAATTAAACAACACACATTTAGAGGTTTAGTAATAAAATTAAATCTTAGTTGAAACATAATTTATTTTTTATAAATTCACAAACATAATAATTATAGAAAAATAAAAAATGTCAAAAAATTTATATTATACCTTGATATTTATTAAATTATATTAAATTAATTTTAGAATAAATTAAAATTAATAATAATATAATGCGTGTAGGATCAGATGAGTAGATCATTGGTTTCAAACACATATTACACCAAATAATAATAATAATAATAATAATAATAATAATAATAATAATAATAATAATAATAATAATAATAATAATAATAATATAACAGGGTTTGAAAGGCCGCCCGAGTCCGAGTCTTTTTTTAGAGGACTTATCAAGGCCAAGCTCTCATGCCTGATTACTTTAAAAAATTTATTTTTAAAGCTCAAACTTTTATTTAAACAGGGCCTCCAGGCTCGGCCCTTATTCTCAACTCTATCGTGTGGGCTAGTGATCATGTCTAATATTTTGAGTGGTGTAAAATAATATATTTGTTATACATGATTTGATTTTGTTGAGCTCATATATACTCTCAATTGCAATCAATTCAAATTAATAATGATTCCGAGCGAGAATTTAAAAAGAAAAATGGTGTGGTCGCATTAATTAATTGGTTGGATTTGTAAAAATTTGCCAAGGATGGGAAAGAACATATGTAAAGGGCTCAGGACTGAGCCTGCAAGCCCTTTTTAAAAAATAAAAAAATTAAAATTAAATTAAAAATTAATTAAAATATTATGAAATTAAAAAAAATCAAGATCCTCATAATTTTTTAGAAATTAAACAATACACATTTAGAGGTTTAGTAATAAAATTTAAATCTTAGTTGAAACATAATTTATTTTTTATAAATTCACAAACATAATAATTATAGAAAAATAAAAAATGTCAAAAAATTTATATTATACCTTGATATTTATTAAATTATATTAAATTAATTTTAGAATAAATTAAAATTAATAATAATATAATGCGTGTAGGATCAGATGAGTAGATCATTGGTTTCAAACACATATTACACCAAATAATAATAATAATAATAATAATAATAATAATAATAATAATAATAATAATAATATAACAGGGTTTGAAAGGCCGCCCGAGTCCGAGTCTTTTTTTAGAGGACTTATCAAGGCCAAGCTCTCATGCCTGATTACTTTAAAAAATTTATTTTTAAAGCTCAAACTTTTATTTAAACAGGGCCTCCAGGCTCGGCCCTTATTCTCAACTCTATCGTGTGGGCTAGTGATCATGTCTAATATTTTGAGTGGTGTAAAATAATATATTTGTTATACATGATTTGATTTTGTTGAGCTCATATATACTCTCAATTGCAATCAATTCAAATTAATAATGATTCCGAGCGAGAATTTAAAAAGAAAAATGGTGTGGTCGCGTTAATTAATTGGTTGGATTTGTAAAAATTTGCCAAGGATGGGAAAGAACATATATCCCTCGGGCTTGCAGTGTGAAAATATTGACTCTAAATTAGTTATTCTAAATTGAAACAGTCAGTGCATTTCGCAAAAACACACACTATTGCAGTGTGAAAAGATGGTCTCACGTGCCTTAACGGCGGTCATTATATGTACGAGAATGAAGCTTTTATATGTAAGTAACACGGTTTACTGTTTAACTTTAATTTTATTACACTATGATACCCAGTTTCATACACATCCCCGTTCTTTGTGTGTGTATCATATGGTCAAAGGTATTATACATGTTTTTTAGATCAAAAAAATTATCCTGGTTAATTTCATTAAGTTTGTGGTCCTTACCCCTATCTTGTCAGTCTATAGACATTTGCCCTTGTTTTCCCACTGAATAAATGACTATCTAGATGCATTCAAGCATGCAAATGTAGCTCGTCCTTCTTCTCACTACCATGTGGCTCTGGTTAATTAGTATCCATACGCGGCCTAGATATGATTTTTTTTTCCCCCAATCATGAAATTGACTGTCGCAGATCCTTCTCTCTCTGTGTGTGTATATATCCCTGCCTCTTCTACGGTTCTACCGAACTAGCTGCCATTGAAACATTTAATACAACGCTCCTTTTTGACTTCTCGTTAATTGGTCTTCCGATCGTCATGGATTTTGAAAATGGATCATGTCCAAGCTCAGCACAAAACCCTAGTTCTCCTACGTCGCAAATTGCATCTCGCAAAAAGAAAGCGGGGAGAAAGAAGTTTCAGGAGACTCGACACCCGCTGTTTCGTGGTGTCCGGAGACGCAACGGCGACCGCTGGGTTTGTGAAGTCCGGGAACCGAACAAGAAGTCCAGGATTTGGCTGGGCACTTACCGTGATCCAGAAATGGCGGCTAGGGCACATGACGTGGCTGCCCTAGCTCTCCGAGGCAGCTCGGCGACACTGAATTTCCCCAATCTGGCTCAGCTTCTTCCGGCTGCCACCTCATCCTCGGCCCAAGACATCAGAACGGCTGCGGCTGAAGCCGCCCACGCTTTCAAACCAACCGCCTCTTCTTCCTTAAGGTCGTCCCCCTCCCCAAACGCATTCCCAGCAGAGGATGAAGAAAAGAGCAATGACAAGTTGTTCTTCGATGAGGAGGCATTGTATAATATGCCGAGTCTGTTAGATCATATGGCTGAGGGTTTGCTTCTCAGCCCTCCCTCTATGTGCAGCAAGGCCTTGGGTTTAGCTTTGGACGATGACTTTACTTGTCAAATAGACCTGACCTTATGGCCAGACGACTAAAAGGCTCAAATATTTATTCATATGCTCTATGTTTAAATAAATAAGATCAGTTAACAATAAGAAAGAAAGAGGTTGGGGGGATGCGAATGCCTCTTGTACTGTCATGGTTAATTTTTTGGTTATTTGCCAGTAGCAGTTAAAGTCCGAGAGTTGCACGTTTGATTAATCGGGCCAAGGAAAGGTTGTAACTAATATTGCTGTTCATGATGAAACAAAGATGACTAGGAGTGAGCAACTGATGAGCAAGGCAGTTAGTTGAAAAGTTTTGTCCAGTTATACGTGGAATAAATTAGCTATAATTTTTTACTATGCATATATATATATAAATATCATAAGGCTCTCGTGAATCACGTGACCACTTATTAGTGATTGACATATGAGAGATTGTGTGGTCTTGACAACGACGCCTCCGCTTCATTTGGGAGGTGACTGGCTGTTTCTAGTAATAGCGCAGTGGCCCCTCAGACAAGCAGTAGTAATTACTCGATCGTAATTTATGTCTGGTATGTACGTGTATGTATATATATCCTCTCATTGCGACTACTAATAAAGAATTATATTGATGCATGCATTTGACATGCATTATTTTCGTTAAAACAAAAGAAAGAAAGATAACAAGATGCATTATTGCCAAAAAATTAAGGTTGCAGATTAATCTCAATCCAGTAGTCTAATTTTTTTTTTTTTTGACACTAAACACACACACACACTATGTATCTGTTTGGGTGACCTTCAAAAGTACATACAAATTATATTTGAAATGTGCTTTTGTCAAATTTAATAAACAGTTGGATCATCTGAATATATTTTTGTCAGACATAAACTGAAATCTAAATATCACGTACCAGTACCGCTTACAGACACAACAGCTGGCGTTCCAAAATCATCCTGCTACGCCATTGATCATCATCAGCGTGATCAGCAACTAGGTTTGTTTCTCTGGGAATCCAATATTTCATTTGAATTGGAAATTATTCCATGATTAAAAGGATGTTTTCCACTATTAGATAGGATCTGCATTAACCAGCCGTCACACAAGTTGATTTGAATGATAGCTTATGATTTGAGAGGAGTGTTATCTGACATCGAGATCATTGATCACTGCAACTCTGATAGCTTATAGCTTCCTCCATCGCTCGAGCTTCAGCTTCCAGGGGAGAATTAGCTAGCTTCACAGATCTTGCTATTACCCAAAGCAGCCACCCCGGCTAGTTCGTCTCTTACCTCATATAACTGATTTCTGGATTAGTTAAAAGAGCGCAGTCTGTATTGATTTTAATTTACTATGCTGAATTAATGTAGGTGGAAACCACTTGGCATTAACTTTTCCTGGAGAAGAAGAAGAATCCAGCAGTCTAATTAGTTCTGTGTTTCGTGATGTTTGTTGTGTTCAAGAATCTTGTTTGGTTTTTATTTTTAAAAACAGTTTTTTTTTGTTTTTAAAAACAAACAAAATTAGAAATTCATTTAGATAACTCTTTTAATTTAATTGTTTTCAAAACTAATCTTTTTTTTTGTTTTTAAAAACAAAAAATTGATACATGTTAAAGTTATTTTCATTTCATTTTTTTCATTTTCAAAATATGTTGCATTTGATTATTAAAATTATTGTCACATTGACCAGTTATTATTATAAGCCACTGCTATTATCCACCAGTGACTACTACTATTGGCCAATTTTTAATTATAAAACTGATTTTTAAATTAACACAATCAATAGATTTTATTTTTATTTTGTTTTCAGTGCGTACAGTTTTAAAAAAGAAAAAGAAAAAAAAAAGTTCTAAGTTTCACACTCGTGCTTCTTCTTTCCTCATGTACAAATCCCTCTTTTCAAGAAATCTAGCGTGCAGAGAGAGAGAGAGAGAGAGAGAGAGAGAGATGTATCGCCTGTTCGTTGATGAAAATTGAAGTTGCACCAAAATATCCAATTATCAATCGTCTGATCGAGTTTCATTACTTAGTAAATATCGAGGGCGAGTAAGATTCGTTTGGGCTTTTACCGCGTCGATCACTATTTCAACATTTAATTTGCATGCTTGGTGCTTGTTTTTCATTATTCCTTACTTAATATTATCTGATATTTTTATTACTCTTTCATTCAGCATATATAACCCGATGTATTTCTCAATCACAAAATTTTTTTCATTGTTATTTTTTTGTTTTATTCTATTTTGTATACCAATCAAATTTTGTGTAGTTTTTCTTGCCTTTTTGTGTTTTATTTGTTTTTTTAATTATTTAAAGCTTACATGTTAAGTTAAAAGGCAACATATAAAACCGTTGAACTCTTGTCTTGTTTCATGAAATGGTTCTCTCTCATCATATATTATGGGAATTGGGAAATGATATCTACACAACTTAGGATTTGGTAGTATTAATTGCTTCGCATGATAGATCAATAATTTTAGAGGTAAACCATGATATCGAATTGATTGGTATGACCTCGTGATTCCGGCCTTGGATGTCCTTGATTATTTGCATGTTCACATTCAAATTCATTGACAAGTAACAGTAGAGACAATGATTGAATTAATAATCTTCATCTGAAAGCGTGCACCAAAATTCTAAAAACTCGGATTCCATTATTTTGCCTGCATAAGATCCATACAGTATAGCTTAATTAACCGATGAACGCCAAAATCTCTGATTAAGGGTATAAATATCTGTAGTCAAATTAAAATTAAGTGGTAACCACCCCAATTTTGTCGTCTCTTGCTCAAAATTAGAAATTGTACGCGCTTGGTAAGGGAGAAGGACGGGGAAGGGCGACCAAGTTGGAGCAGTTAAGAATTTTAAGAGTATGTTCGTTTCTGTTAGCATTTTTTATTTTTAAAAACTATTTGACATTATAATTTTTAAACTTATTAAAAAAAAAGAAAATATGTTTCTTATGTTAATTAAAAACAGTTTTAAAATTAAAAAAATTAATTGATAGCGATGGTTACCAGTAATTAATAGTTATGATTAAAACAAGAAAAAATATAATGAAAACAATTTTAAAATATTTTTATTTTTTCTTTTCTTAAAAGTTTTAGAATTAATTAGATTTAAAACACTCATCTAAATAATTTTTTTTAATATTTTTTGTTTTAAAAACAAAAACCAAACAGGTCTTGATATTGTCCGCACTAACACTGTTCACTTCATCGTTAACAAGTTTTACATTCTTAGTTTTCTCTCCTTCTTATATTTTTCCTTACCTCAAATAAAGGATGGTTTTTTTTGCTTTATAACAATGTTTTAAAGTTTGGATTAAACATCAAATCAAAAAGACTAGCAAGTGATGTTCTTATTATTCAACCAATTAAATCAATGGTCGAACTAATGACATAATAATTAATTAAAAATAATATTTACATGTATTCATGTGTGTGAGAGAAATAATTAAAACATCAAGTTAATAAAAAAAATCATGTCAAGTTACAAGTACAATAACTCCACGAGAAAAAAAAACTGAAAACATCTCCATTAAAACATAGAACGTATATAATGCATTATTTGCAAATTTATGCACAGGGATGATAAAATGTGCGTGCAACCAAGTAGAAAGTATAGAGTACAATATATGAAGTACGATTATTATATGATAATATATGCTATTATAATAAGATTGAGTTCCGTATCACAACAACCTAACAAAGAAATTTTTTTTCCTTTTCCTTTTTTTCATTTTTTTAAGTAACTTTTGTCGTAGTACATTAATGTAATGAGTAATATTTTTTAAATAAATATTTTTATTGACATATTATTGGTCTTGATTTATCATTTTTTTGATTTTATTCCTGCAACGTACAGATTGTTAGTTGGCCAAAAAATTAAAAAAAATGACCTGAAAATTTAAAAAACTTAACCAATATTAAAAATATAAGTAAATTCTAACATGCACAAAAAAATTTATGATTTTGACACTATCTGAAAGAGAAGATCAAAGATCAATATATAAAAAATAAAAATTTATCTATAAATTTATAAAATATTAATCTAAGTTATTAATATTTAAAAAGTAATTTATAAATTTTGAGTAAATATTTATAAATAATAATAGTTAAATTATTAAATTAATATGAAAATATTTAATATTTTGGCAACATTTATTAAAATTTTATTTTAATAAAACTTTAATGTATTAAGTGTTCTTAAAAAAAATTAAGATGCTCAATACTCCTTAAAAAAAATTTAAAGACAAATTACAATTAAAGGACATAGTCAAAGTCGTGTATATTATTGTGTGTGGGCCTTGCACATATGCCAAATCAATAAAAAATGAAAAAGCTTAACTGCCCCGAACAGAACAGCATTTTTGGACCTTGAAAAGGACTTCAAAGAAAAATTGCTCCTCTTAAAATTATAAGTATCTAGCACCCCTAAAATATAAATACAGGGATAAAATTAAATCTTAATCCAATAATAAATGTACAACACTTGCGATGAAAAAGGACGCATGATGATAAAATTGGTAGCACCAATTGAGTTATACAGATTGACCAAAATAATTGGTCATGAAGGTTAGGTCATGTCAAGTTAAAAAAATTGATCTAGATCAAAAAATAGTTTCTTTACCTGAATCACATTACTCGTAAATCATATGGGCTAATCCTGATGGATTAACGTTGACCCATTTAACTCATATTATTTGTTAAAAATTAAAAAAGAAAAGAAAAATTTTGTGGGCATGACTTATTTAGTTGGATCAATTCATATAATTTGTTCAAAAATTATGAATTAATATTTTTGTATTTCTAGAATGAATCATGAAAGAATATTAAATTAGAATTCATCATTTAGATGTATTTTTTTAATTCATAAAAAACAAATTTAAAAAATAAATGGATTAGCAGATTAACCCTAGGCCAAGCTAGACTTTTGCTAAGTAGGCTTGTGCCTGTGTGATAAATTAGAAGCCTAAACCTGACATGAATCTTGTATAAGATTTTTTCAAGTCTAATATAACCTAAAAGCTTATTTAAAACTTTATTTAAAAACTTTCATTTTAGTTTTAAGCATTTTAAATATACTTTAAGACTATTATAGTATGTAATATATAACTTAATTTATTAATTATAATATATAATATAACAATATTAAAATTAATATATAAATCTAGTATGATTAAAAAAAAGAATAAATTGATCACCACGAAATCCTGTTTTTTACCCTCAGTATTACCCTCGTCAAAACATGGCTCTTCATTCTCCTCCTACACACGGCATTGAGCAGGACCAAACCCTCAGGCCACCCTATGATGACGACCCTCCGGCTTCAGCATCCATTGACCATGAACGCAGGGACAACGGTGGGGAGGTAGGGCAAAGAGAGACTTGGCAGAGCGAGCTAAGTCTGAAGTGGCTCCTTCATCCGTCAACGACCCACCGTTGCCTACCCATGATGTCTCTCTCTCTTCCCCTCCCGCTCTCTCAGGCCTCCACTACAAGCTTCCAGAAATGACTCAATATGAGTTGTGAAAACAAGAGAAAGACATTGATCGGCGTGGAAGATTTCGGTGGTTGCAAAATCCATGTTCTAGTTTTTGCTTTACATATTCCAGCGATTTTGGTTCGTTTTGATCTCTTGTTCTTTGTTTATATTGTTATTTGATGCATTGTGTTTCTTGTTCCAAAGATATTAAGATTGGTAACTGTTTTTTTTTTTTTTTCAACAGGCTTGGAATTGGGGACAATATTTTCTTTTTATTTAATTTAATGAGAACGGTATTTTAATCTTTTTAATATTTTAAAATACATATCTTAAAAAAATTATATCAGAATTTTATCTCAATACTGAACATATTTTTGCAATCCAATTTTATTTTTATTTCAATTCTGAAGTCAATTTCAATTTTAATTTTATCAAAAGTTTTTTTATCATATCAAATCTTGTTAAACAGTTTTTTTTTTTAAATCTGCTTTGTTTAGGTGGTTTTTTTTATCAGTTTTTTATTAGTTTTACTAATTACTGACCGATTTAATTTTAGGCTAGCTTTAGTTTCGCACCGGACTGGAATTGTGACTGGTTCCTAATTTAACCGGTTAAATTCGCCGGTTTCATTCGGTTTTTAAAACATCGATGTGTGCCGTACTGCTGGTGATGGTGGGTTGGTGTCTGATGTAAGTGGCCTGCGTTTGTGGTTGAGGTCCACGTTTTTTTCCTCACGTACACTTCAAACCTTATTTGTCAGAACTGAGACGAAGCCATCAATAATTGATGTCAAACCCCACATGCATGCTTCAGCCTAACAAGGTGGGGGGTAAAAAAACACCCTCAAACTATTACTATTTGCCTTCCCCTCGTGCACCACCCAAACCTACTCTGCTACACCTCTGAATTGCTCTTTCTTGCACCCTTTGTCTTTGATCTCGGTCAATCAAACATTCAAATATGTCGACTCATATTTTTAAAATTCTGTGCCATGATTTTTGCCTCAAAATGTTTCCCTGCTTCAAAACCTTCAGAAACTTACGCCAGAAAATTCATTGGACTGAACTGAATCAGACTTTACCTGCAATGTAGTGAATAAGTCTTACTGTTATTACCTTGCCATCTCAGGACTAGGGTTATGTCATGCAGTTGCATAAGATGAAAAAGAGGAAAATTCGACGTAGAAAAAAAAGGTCTGCTTCTTCTCTGCAGGTTAAAAGTTGTATCTCTATCCAGAAAAGATGTTAAACGTATTAGGAAGGGAGTAAATACTCGAGCCAATTATTGTACTAACTGATTAAACGTATGATTAAATGATTGAAATCCTGATGCGAAATAATTAAGGGAAATTTCAACCAGGAAAAAAAAAAAGTTAAGACAATTCCAAGATCACAAAGGCATCTTGTCCGATAAAGGGTGATTAAGACGGATTACCTATTGGTCCATGCTATCTCAAGACAAATATATGACGCAACATTTCACTTACCACCTCTAATGTCTTGCTTTCGACCAGAAAGAGAAAACATGTTTTGGAAATTTAGACTTGGCGAAGAAAATGGACTTTGAAATCGTTGATGATGGAGGTTAACTCAGAATGAATCAGAAAAAAGTGACCTGCTGGATGTGTTCTATGGACGATGGCTTTGAGCTAAATATACAACAAACAGTAAAAATTTGACAGAAACCATAATACCCGCCGATTATATTCATATAAAACGCTGGAAAGTTTTCACTTTTCATTCAATTTCTAATAATATACCTTGGTGCTGCACATGGCAAGGACATGGAAGAAAAAGTCCATAAACTCCCACTGCTTTCCTGCAAATCTCACTAAAGTTAAAGGAAAAACCCAGTGACTTGTGAAAATCAAATTTCAGAAGGTGTTTTTCTTTTTCTTTTTTTCTTTTCCGCCCTCTTTCCTAAAGCACGTTTTAGTGAGTACAATTATGTAGGCATCAAAATTTGATCACCAAATAAACTTGAAAGTATGATTGGTCCAAGGGGAAAAATCATGTAGGGTTGTTCAGGGCAGCGGCCAACCCATAAACCCAAACTTGCAGGGGAAAATGACACCAAGGAGACCCCATTCATGTGCTGAGACAATGACACAAGACAAATTTTACTGTGGGATAGACACAAGGGGTTCCCCACTAGTGGGTCTATACCTTGAATAAAGCTTGTACCTTTCCTAAGGGATTTAGCTGTGAATGCTGTCCCTTTAAAGTTTAAACTTCTGGCAAATACAAATCTCTAGCTGAGATATTGATGCCCCCTTTTCAACTACATATCTCTTATTTACTGCAAGTTTTAGTTAATGTGAGGCTCCTTTACGTTCTTTAACTTACATTTGAGATGGATAGGATTTAAAAAACGCGGTTGAACAAAATATACTGTCTTGGTATGATTTAAAGAGTCAAGTGTATTGAAAGCCAAGAATATAAACTGGTTCAAATAATTGATCATAAAAGTTGTATTGTGTTGAAAAAAAATTGATCAAAACAAAAACATGTTGTTTCTAACCTAAACTATATAACCCGTGAACTATATGGGTTAATCATGATGGGTTAGGATTAGCCCGTTAATTTCATTATTTTTTGAAAAAAGTTAAAAAGAGGGAGAAAGGGAAAAATTTTGTGAGTACAAACTATATTGAACAAAACTTACTTAACGAAATCAATTCATATATTTTGCATAAATATTTTAAATTAATATTTGGGTATATTTAGAATGAATTAAGAAAGAATATCAAATTAGAACTCATCATTTAGGTGTATTTTTTTTTTTACATTCATGAAAAAAAAAAAATGAGTTAGCAGGTTAAGAGTTGGGTTGAATTTTTCCAAACCATTTAAAAATAGGTTGAACCTAACTTAACCCATATAGTTCGAATTGGCCCATATTTCCACCTCTGCATATCTGATATGACAATTGACAGATAGGGACTGTGAGGTTTGACGTGCAAATTGAGCACATTACAAGCCCTTTGTGCATTATATATTTGAGCGGGCAGTGACAAGCTTTGATCCATAAGTGAAGTAGCCATGGGAGAGATCAAGCACTTTGTGATTGTTAAGTTCAAGGAAGGTGTGGCCGTTGAAGATATCATCAAAGGCATGGAGAAGATGGTCTCTCAGATTGATGCTGTCAAACACTTTGAATGGTAAGCATCTCCTCTGTCTCAAAATATATACAAGTAAATAGAGACCCTTCAATTCTGTTTAGCATGGTTCTGATATGTTTGCATACCATCTAGTACTGAATTTCAAAGACAAGGTTGGCATGTAAAGGGAAGATATATGAGTAGTTATACTATAATATGGCTGAATTGGTATCAACAGGGGACAGGACATTGAGAGCCAAGAGGTGTTAAGACAGGGTTTCACTCATGCCTTCTTGATGACATTCAACAGTAAGGAAGACTTCGTTGCCTTTCAAGGTCACCCAAATCATGTGGAATTCTCTGCAACATTTTCTGCTGCTATTGAGAAGCTTGTGCTTCTGGATTTCCCAGCCACTCTTGTTAAGCCACCACCAGATACCACGGCATGAGCCTGAAGATAATGAAGCAGTAAAGATTCCATCTTTAAGAAAACTGTCTTTAGTATTTGTAAAATTACGGGGTTGTTCTGTTGTGCCTGTCAGTTCTCAAGTGCTTTCAACTTGTAATGAACCATGAGGTCTTTTATTCTCCCATCTGATTAATAGATCATGGAGTTGCTGTATTGCCTGATAAATTAAATGATTATGAGTGACAGCAATGAACATGATAAGAGACTAAATTTATATAGTAGAATAATAATGACCTGAAAAAGCGGGTAACTCGGAAAAGTATCTTTAGGAGTGTGGTCATGAGAATCCATCCATGGTGGTGAGGGGAATTGAATCACACATCGATCAGGAAAAAATAATAAGCAATAGTGAGAGGAACAAAGTGCAGAGGAAGGAAAAGAAAAGGAATCTAATAGCCAAAACTAAGGTTCCATTTCAAAGGGACATGGCATAATCACATAAAGCAAATTGAATTTGTAGCCTAGCTGCAGATTCCTCAAAGCAATATAACCTTTCTTATAAAGATCAATCTAAAGACACATGGTCCCAACTTGAAAATCATAAGGAAACTGGATTCTTGAAGTCCTGTTCTGGCTTCCTCCCTACTATCTTGATCCTGAACGAAAAACCCAAACGAGATTCAAGATTTGAGATTTCAACACAGGAAAGTGCAGAATATGAAGAAATTCAGTATTCTTCATTCTGTTCTCCTGTTCAACCTCATACTAACAGTTACTTGTATAACTCAACGCAATCGTTCAAACTACTGTGGCGAGATCAGATCCAAACGTCATCTTCATCTTCTTCATCATCTCTATTGAATAGCATGACCCTATGCAGATCACACAACCTTTACTTCGAACATCTCTGGGCCTTTTCAAAGTCACTTACATCGATGACAACCGTAGAACACTAAAAATATCACATTCTTCTTCCTTCTCTCTCCAATTTGTTTCTCCTCTGGCTGTCACTGCTGGTTTCCCTTCTCCTCCAGAATCTGATTCACTTCTTCTCTTTGACTGCTCCATCAAAAGAAGACATAAAAACCCCATTTCGCCATTCATGCAACATTGCAGGGAACTATGCTCATCTAGGCCTTACGAATGTTTAGTTGTTATGGACGTTCATAAAATTGACAGGGGGTTTCATCCTAAGCATTTGAACTGCTCAAATTGCATGTGGGTCCATAAGAGTTCTTCCGATGTCGGAAACTACGGAGGATAAAAGCTGGGTACGAGGATTTCCTTGGACATTTCAGATCATGTTCCAGATCTATGTAAGGAGTGTGAGAAGCCTCATGGGAACTGCGGAGCAGGATTGAAGTGTTTCTGCCACGCCAAAGAATGCAGTAAGTGGTTTTGATTTAACGTGTAGAGAAAAAAAAAAAAATATTAGTTTTGACTTTGATGATGTTTTTTGTGTTGCAGAAGACGAGATCCTATCCTCCGGTGGGTGCATAAGCTCCATCGGTAACGTCTTCTTTTCTCCGCTTTCAATCATCAATATGCTAGTTCTTGTAATGGAAATATAAGCGAGTGTATCAGAAGATTGAGTTTTTAGAAGGTCCGAGAGTCCTTAATGATGAAATTAGAAATTTTACATGCTTTAGATCTGCAAGTTGAAGATGAATGCATGCGTTTTTGAATGTGATAGTTCACACACACACACACATTATGTGCATGGTTTATATATTACTACATATCAATAAAATTAACGTAGTTAACGGGCTTTATATATGAAATAAATATTCGGCTTCATTTTTAGTACTTCAGGTTCAAGAAATATTAGCTTCTAGCAAAAGGAAAATACGTGTGTGTGATTTGAATCATATAGGATCTCAGAATTTAGTATTTCACAGTAAGCACTAAGCATGCAGGTGAAAAAATCACATCGGCAAAAAAGCAAGGGACGGTGGTGGAAATAGTAATTTCCTTTAACCTTTTACAAGAACTTGTCAATGCTCTTGAAATGTGAAGAAGTTTCGATCTATCTACAGTAAAACAAAAGGATTAATGATGCGTAAATTGGATTACAACATAATACTTGATAGTGAAATGAACATGAAGCTTCTATCATATGATGGAAGATAAAAGGGTCAACTGCTATTGCTGTTTGCTACCATGACATCGGCCTTTTGTTTTTGAAATTTCGAGTAAATTTAATTGCAAATTTTTAGACTAAATTTTTAATTAAAAAAATAGACTCAGCTATGTTTGAGAAATAAACTTCATTTTCATGACATCAATAATGCAGTTAATTACAGATTTTAGCTTGTATATTGATATATTGATTGAAATATAATGAAGACATAAATTCTTAATGAATTAGTGATAATTATATCATTTAACCATCAAATTGAAAAATTAGAATAGATAACGTTGGATCCCCTCAATTGAGTTGCCTCATATGAGCCACCATTAAGGGATATTCTCTATCAGATCGTGATTTAATAGTGTTGAGACACTTCTTCCGTTAAAAAATATAGAGCATGCAAATCTTACACTCAATAAAATAGTTATCTACTTTTAAACTAACCCTATTTTTTTATATTTATTGTTATTAAACACTTTGCAATAAATATAAAGTCATTATCAATAGAAGTACTTTTAAAAAAAAACAATAATTACACTTTCAAAGATTAAAAATGTCTTACATTTTTTAACGAAATGAGTAAATAATTTTGTTTATCTTTTAAAAAATAAATTTGTAACTCCCCTCAACATCTTCAGATCCCAATTTGATGGCCACTATTCCATAGTTGAAGATAACAACTAACTTCATAGAATTTTTAGACGCCAGTTGTATTCCAAGAAGTAAGTTTTTTAATTTGTACACGGTCCTTTCAAAGCAAAGATTGGCTTTATTTTATTCATTAAAAAAGCAAAGGGGAAAAAAAAAAGGATAATAAACAAGCTCAGGACCAAGAAAGATCACAAGAGCCACACCAAATTTTGAGGGTTATGTGGGATGTTGACCCTGACCTTGTTCGGAACGATTAATTTGGCCTTGTTCACGTCACATGGATTACAGATAATTTCACACAAGTTGGACCAACTTGCGCATTTCCTATTATAGTTCAATGTAAACACTACTATATCATTTTGGCCTTATTTTCTTTCTGATCTATATGTAACAAGATATTGTATGTTTTATTGATAAATCACAATAGTTTCATACAATTCATATAGCCAGGTCCTATTTAGACGAATAAAACTTGTTATCATGGGACAATGATGATATAAATTAATTATAAATCCCAACCACTCCAACTGCAAGCTGAAATTTGTGCACACCCAAGCAAGCTAATCATGGAGGATAGTATAAAGTTGTCGATTTCTGGGTTGTCCCAACTAAAGACTTGATCATAAACCTAACTTGGAAACATTTTCTTGGCCTACTCATTGCACACTACAATGGAGGAAACCCAAACTTGTAAGACTAAATCAACGTGATGTGTGTAATTGGTTAGCTTTGTTAAATGCAATGAATGTGCTAAAGCCACAATTCTCGCGCACTGAATTCTCCACAACATGCCCCTTTTGGTTCTCAACATCACGTGCCATTTTGATTCCACCGTGCAGATTTTCTTGTCGAAAAGGAAGACCTACATACCTTTAATTTATATATTGTTTAAAAAAAAAACAAGGGTGCCAACCCTAAAAATTACTATATTAAAGTTACTCCACTAACACTTACAAAAATATCTAGTTATTTACATATTAATCACTTAAAGAGATTCCTACATTTGAAGCAAAATCTTTAAACTTGTTAAAAAAAAAAAACATTGTAACTGTTGTAAAATTAGAAGAAATATAAGATAGATTTAATATGAAAAAAATGGACAAGGCAAAAGAACATTAGAGTAATAGAGATGAAGACGACTAGAGAATTAGGGGGGAAAGAACGAGAGATTCTTGTTCATTTAGGTTATCATAAATACGTATATATATCACTTCTATGTATAGGACCACAATATTAAAGACTAACTTTAAGGATTGCAGATAGAGGTATTAATTAGGGTTAGTCTAGTTTTTTAAGAGCCAGAGCCTAAACAGGCTGATCTTTTTAAACTCGATTATACTTTAAAAATCTATTTTTAACAGCTCAACCTTAGCCCTTAGAGCAAAAGGACCAACCCTCAAGGTCTCAGTCATAATTATTTTTTTTAATTTTTCAATTTAAAAATTTAAAAAAATATATTTAAAATCTTAACAAAGTTATTACACATCACATTAAATCTAGAAAAATAAAATAAAATCAATTCACATAATAAAAATTTTAAATTTGATAAAAAATAACATCCCAAAATCAACTACGACATCAATTACATGTTGGTAGCATCATCAACTAAATTTTGATTATTTTTATCATCATCAACATTAATATGATTTGATCCTTTTCCTTGTGGATCTCCATCTATGGCAAATATGTTAAGCTTTTCGTTTCTTCCTTCTTCATCCTCATTATTCACAATAAATAATAAACCAAAATTATAATTTCAAAGTATTTAAAGAATGCAAAAATATTCAAAATAAGCAAATAATAATGTGCGTGTCTACTGTCTGGATTAGAGAGTGAATGTTAATTTTGAGTAATGTAGTGTCTTCTTTTTATTTATTTTTTTAATATATTTTTTTAAAAAATAAATTAGAACTTAAAAGGGCCAACCCTGATCCTAAAAGGCCGGCCCTTTTATTTTCAAGTTTTAAAAAAGTCAACCCTTTTAAATTCAATTTACCTTTTTGAAGACAAAAGTAACGGTTCAATCCTTAATTTTTTCATGCTTAAAAAGGTTGACCGCTCTAATTATATATACATAAAAAAAATATTAAACAATATGGTTGTTATATAAAATAAGCACTAGAAAACTATTAATTAAAAAGTCCTCACAACATGGAATCTAATGAAAAGAACTCGTTGACAACGTAATAAATTAATATTTAAATTTTTATTATTAAAAGTATTTATATTTAATGTTTAATTATATCTCAATTGCTTCTAACAAAAAAATATGAATAATACTAAAAAAGTCTTCTAGAAATAAGTTTCCAAAATTCCCACGGAAACATTTATTGGTAAGAGTAATGGCCCGTTTATTTTTTTTTAATGGAGAATGTATTAAAATACAATGATAAAGAATATAATAATGGAATGATTATTACAGAATATTTAGTATGACATGCAGAGACTGGGGAAGGTGAAATAAAATTAATTTTTGATATTTTCTTAAATAAAAAATTAGAAAGACAAAAGTGCCCTTAAAAAAGGAACAAAATTGCCTCCCTCCTCCCTTCCTTTGTTCCTTCATCCAAACTTGAACAGAAAAGAACGGAGAAAACATCCACAAAAAAATCGACGATGAAACGCAAATGGCGAACTGAGAAGAACATAATCGCCGACCCAGACCTGACCGAACTCGCAAATGCTGAGCCAGATCAGTGGAGAAGGAAACCACATCTGAAATGAAGAAAATGTATCAAGTAATCCTGATGCAGAGAATCCAACCAGACGCACACTAAAATTCTTGAGATTTTTATAGGATAAAAAGCCTCGAATGCTTCAATTATAATATTACCGATATATTTTTGCCATGAAGGAGAGAGTGGTTGATCCCATGAGCGTTTATTGGGTGAGGAGGAGGTGAGGATAGGAGGGACCATAGACACACGAGTGTCATAAAAACATGTCGTGGCATCTCACAACATAGAATAGACCACCTCGGTGCCCGTTAAAGACAAACCTCCTGCATTTCAATATCACCTCTCAATTGCCGCTTCCATCTTCATCAATCTTTACAAACTCCTATAATCACCATCCCACTTCTATTCCCTAATCAAACTCTCACCTTGTCGTGTTCTTGTCTCCACCACTACTGGATCATGACCAATCATCAAATGATAAAAATGGAAAAATAACAAGTTTCCTCAGTGACATTGCCCCGGATTAATGTGGTCACGATACACTACTGATAATTCATTCATGACACGCGCCTTCAGTCATATTACTATCTCAATCCCAAGAAACAAACACTCTCGGGCATTGTAAAAGATCGACACTTTTCAAACAATGTCGGCATTTTCTTATTTGTGTCGCTGTCCAGGCAGAAAAATAACCCATAGAAACAGAGAGAGGGCTTAAAATAGCTCATTGTTCTGTTGGAATTCAAATGTTCTTCTCTCTCTTTCCTATGGTGACAAAGAATCAAGTGTGCCTGAAGAGTTAAAATCAAGAAGAAATAAACAGAAAGAATATGAACTTCTATAATTTTATTTTATTTTTTTTTTCGTAAAACAACGAAAGGCCAAATTTTGCCCTCATATAGGGGTCTTACAGGCATATATCAACAAGGAGAAGTCGACTCTGTCTTTCTCTTTCTGAACATTCTCCTCCTCCAACCACAATCTGCTATCCAACGCACTCCTAGTTCTGAACATGAACACTGCACACCCAGAAGAAGACGACGATGAATTGAAAAACCAGTCATGAACATCCCAAAGCAAATCCACGAGCAGCCCATCAATGAAAATCGTCTGGTTTCCCCTGAAATTCCATTGTAGCCTCTTCACTTTTATCACCGTCTTCTTATCAATACAGACCGTTAGAACTGGACCCTTCACATTCTTCAACCCTTCGTTCTCTCCGCTGCATCTTATAAAAATCTCGTGAGAACCCCCAGTTTCGCAGAAATGTGTCCTCGTCGTGTAAAGGGTATTTCCTGAACAATGCTCTCGACGAGAAATCAGTGACGATTTGGCCATCGGAGTACTGGCTATGAACTTCTTAGTCACAATTTCTTCGGCCGTGTCACCCAGAATTAGAGCTATTTCTGAATCAACGAGGATTAGAAGATAGTAGCCATCAAGAGGTTCAGGGGCAGAATCGTACTTGGCATTTGAAAGATCCCAGAAAAGCTCGATCTTTGAGTCTCCAGATTCCAGAAATTTGCTGCCTTTTTTCTTCCTGAAGAACCTGGAATTGGTGTTGAGTCTGAAAATTGCTGTCGCGGGGTCGTCATCGTTGAAGTTAACAGAGAGTCCTTGATTGGAATGGTTTTTAATCCATGTGATTGTGATTAAAAGCTGCTTTTGCGTACAGAGGGTGATTTTGTAGACGCAAGAGACTGAGTTCTGGATCGAAGGTATGAGACTGGGAGAGATACAAGCGTTGTTAGAGAAGCTAGAACATGAAGAATAAGGAGACACATTGACAGCGTTCTCCCTGAAACAAGAGATTACGTCTCTCATTTCTGCAGAGACTCGAGGTCAAGATCGAAACAGTAGAAGAAACCAACTAATAAAGGGGGGGGGATTACTCTCGCTAGTTCCGGGTATTATGCGAGTAAATCAGAAGATCCAGAAATGGAGGTTATGTCGGCATTTGAAGGGTTTGGATTTTCTGAGATGGAAGATCAGAGGGAGAAGATAAATGATAAATAAAATCTGGCTCTAAGACAGGCCCATTACAATTTAATACGACTCTCTCTCTCCCTCTCTCTCTCTTCCCCACACACAGTCTTGAGAAGATTGAAGGAGAAACCTAAAGGGGTGTTCTTTTTTTAATGCGAGTTGCCATTTATAATTCGAAGGGTATAAAAAAATAAGGAGAGAGAAACAAGAATGGACAAAGTTAATACCAAAAAAAAGGACTTGACTGCTATTAAGTGACTCTGTACGGCGTAATGCTGGCCTTTGATCTGATTTGGTTTCCTTAGATAGTATACTGATTTTTTTTATAAATCATTTTTAACATATTTTATTAAAATAAAAAAATTAATTTTATTTTAAAATTTAATAAATTTTCACTTTTATTTTTAATAAATTTTTTAAATCCCATGACTAATATTTATATTTAAAGTAGTTAATAAAAATAAAAATATAAAAAAGAGTTTTAAAAATTGACAAATATTTTATAAATAAAAATAAATTCTTTCTTATCTTTTTATCTTATAAACAGGTTCAAATAAGTATATAAGAGCTTCAGGAGGAAGCATCATTATGATGAGAGGCAGTTAAGAGAGAAATTTGTTATCGCTAATTAATCAGGCTTATGAGTTACTGCTGACAGAAGGGAAGAAAATCTGGAAAATGCCAAATTGGGCAACCAACGCTGCATGAACAAAGAGAATTATGTTTGCCGCCACGGCACAGTTCACTAGTAATTTTCAGCGCTCTATAATTCCCTGTTTAGTAACAAGATTTTCGGTTTTGTCATAAAGTTACTTCTAAGTTTTAATTAGTGGTAGCCCTGTGTATCATATTATTAATGTCTCATCAATAATACTCCCTCCAAGCTATACTATTTTTTTAGACAAAATCATCTATTATTTTTAATTCAAAATATAAGTATTTTTATCAACTAATCTTAATTTAAAATATAAATAACTTAATACATGTAATTTTTTTTATTTTATCTATTGCATTTATTAACTTAAATTTTTATATAAATGTATTTCTCACTCATAGAGTATATTGATAATTAAAATTAAGAATAAAAAAGAAAACAATATATATTTTTATGGAAATAAAAACTTTATTAGTATGCAAATTTTTTATTAAAACTGCTCATATTTTGAATTTGAGAGAGTATATCAATAAAGTTTATTAAGTAAATTTTACAATTTTATTTTTTAAATAAAAATTTAAATTTTTAAAAATATCTTTCATTTAATAGTCTATTTATAAAAAAATATTAAAAAATAAGAATACGATATGAAGGATAACATTAAAAAAATTATTAATAAAATTTTATTTTTATTAAAATATGTCGAGGTGACTCATGATATGGGAGGAAGTACAACTTGCTATGATTTCTTTATTGTGTATAAATATATAGATTTCCCTCTTGTTTCTTTACAAACAATCCCAAAATCTCTATATCTATTTACATCTATATATCTAGAAAATCTTATACAAAATGCACTTTCATAGATTATAAAGAATATGAGTTTACTGGCAATTTGCTATATATTCACAGGTCCCATGATGCATAATACATGCTTGAATTAGACTTATGCTTCTACTCTTGCATTGAGCTTTGTGCTTTTCTTATTGTCATCTTCTTATTTTAATTTGTATTCAAATCAATAGTCTCGAGATAAACAGTCTCCATCTGATCATTATTTATTATTTATCTTGTACTTTGCTTATTTCTAAATTTCATAATTCCATGCCTTCTTGCACAGCCAAAAAAAAATGTAGATATAAAAATAGTTTTTATCATTTTTTGTGTTTCAACTAACTTAATTAATTGTTTGGCCAAAAAAAAAACTTACTCAATTAATCGCATTTTTGCATCAAAAGGTAGTAAGTGACAAGGTGCCTCATCTATGAATGGATAACCAGTCTTTCCAGGATTCTGCTAAAGTTGCAGAGGACCCATCAAACTACCAGTACGTTTATATCGATTAAAAAAAATGAAATAAATAATAAAAACAAATTGACATTTTTAAATTTAAAGTTAATGAGTTTGGAAAGTACTCTAATCGAACCGCTTCTCAAATATTGAAAAGGATATATAACCATTAATTTTTGAGTTGGGATTGTAAAATTGCGGTCCTCGGAGAATGAAGAAGGCAGGCCCCGGGACCATTAACACATAACAAGTTATGAGAAAAGCTTTTTTTTTTTTTTTTGCTGATTTTGTTGTTAGTGTAAAAAATCTAAAAGGCATATTTAATGTTACATTTAGTTTATCTGCATTACATATAAATATTTTAAATTTGAGTAACTAAAGTACAAGTTCTTTAAAGAACTTTACTTGTTCTACATTTTACTAGATATATATATATATATATATATCCGTGTATTATTCATAGACATAGTTCCAAGAATACATAAAATATAACAAATGAATTTTTTGTTTGGCTAAAGAAATACAATAAATGAATTATGCTATATATTAATGAGTTACTATATACTACGTACAAATAATTAGAAATTATAAATTAGAAATTGTATCGTGTGCGCAATGCAGTGATCGATATATTGAAAATATAAAAGGGTCAATTAGAAGAAAAGCTCTGAGTGACGCGAAATAGTACTGAATGTTGTCCCCGCGAAATAAATTAGGCCTCTGGAAGCACCGTCCAGCCTCAAAATATTTTATAACGTGTATGACATCACATTAAATTCGTGCAAGAGAAGGTAAATTTGACATATCAAAGTTGAGATTGAATTAATTAATGTATGGAATAAGGAGACAACACTATTTTTAATTTGTCTATTGTATTGACTCAAAATATTAAAATTGACAAAAATAAGAGCATGTGAGTTATGAAAATTGAAAAGAAAAGGGGGTGAGTAACTGAGTATCATAATGAATACAGGTATACTAGTCACACCCTTTTAATTTATGGTATCATGTGGTTGCAGTTGGGAAAAGAATGAGCTAGCATTAAAACCAACAAGGCAAGGCAAGCCCATGAATTTTTAAAGCTCAGGTGAACACTTCCATATCCATCTCTCTCTTTCTCTCTCAGTCTTCTGCAATTAAAGTGAAACACAGTGAAATTGTAAAAGCTGAAGTAACATAAATAGAAGTTGCATGACAGCTTTTTAAAAAGCAGATTGGATAATTAGCACAAACTAGCATGTTTGAACTTCTGAAGTTTGAACAGAAAAAATGTACGTTCGTGCGTGTCCAGGCTCTTTTTTTTTTGGGGGGGGGGAGATTCATAAGAAAGTGATGAGGAGAAAGAGGAATTGAATGAGGGGTGGACGAAGTGGAGGAATAATTTGCCATAGATAACATGAAACAGATCGAGTTTCTGAGGGAAGATTTAGTCAACATGTATATTATGAATAAGTATATCAGTATATGGACACATATAGAAACATGATTATTTATCTTTAAAAAACTTATATCAGGGACAACGTGCTTAGGATGAATCAATGTTTTTTGAACTTGGCAAAAAAAAAAATGTAAGGATTCTTTTACCATGTTTGGTTGTCATTCTTGTGTTCAACTGTTCATATTTCACATGAAAGTCAATATAACTTATGTGAAAATGAGAAATTGGTAGTTTTTGCTTAAAGTGATTTTGAAATGTTATACAAACATTTTTTTTTTTTTACATTTGCGTCAAATTAATAATTACATTCTTGAAGATCAGTTTCAAACATTAGGTAAAAGCATGAGTTAATCTGCAAAAATATACCTAGTAAGGCAATATATAAGTGTAGGATCGGTCCACCAAGTACATGAAATTAAAAAAAAAATGGTTAAGAAAAGTGGTGAATCCCATTTTGAAATGCATATAGCCAACGGATCCCAGGGCTCCAATTCTGTAAGGTTCCCCGAGTAGAAATGGTGGAGGTGGAGGTAGGGGCGGAGAAATGAAACATAGAATCTGTCTATACATTCAGACATTTAACTTTGCACTTTGTTTGGTTTGTGACTTTCTGTCACTTCATATATGCCCTTTTATTCTTTGCCCAAAGTAGCTCAGGAAACTGGTGGTATCCCACTCTTCTTTTCTTTCTCATTTGATGCTAATACGTCACTCACACTCCTTAAGATTCCAACTGGCCATAATGAACGTGAGGGTCACAATTCAAAAAACACAAAACAAAAAAGCAATTCAACTACCACCTAAGTACCTCAACTCATAAGAATTTGGTGTATAACATACAATTTTGTTGGATCAAATCCTCCTATTTATGCAAAGATTTTGTTGATGAGGGATTTTTAAATATTTCTATATGCATTTTTTAAGTTTGAAGGCATATCTTAACTTAATGAACTCTTGAAATTGCATTCACTTAAACTTTTTTCCGCAAAAAAGAAGAAGAAAAAAAAGAAGAAAAAACAAAGCAATCCCAACTCAAAAGGAAAGATTCATGTATATGTACCGATCATTTTGAATACATTTAATCACTTTAGCAATTCTTCATGATGAAATCATGAAACTTCAGGGAAGCTCTACTAGTGCGGGAATGCTGGGAAAGCAATATACACCACTTGGGTTGGCTCGCAAATTATACTTAAAAAAAAAATACTCCTTCTTGATTTAATTATCATGGGCTTCTGGGGAATACAACTGTTTTATAATTTTAAACAATGAGCAGAACCGAATGCTGCATTTTAAACCACTCGCAGCTGAAAACTTCTGCAGAATTTCATGGTCAAAATACTCGAAACGGTCACATAAGCAACTTTATACTCCGTGTTTAATTTTTGTAGAATCTAATGGACTTAATAAAGCACAGTTTCATTCAGTGAGGGCAGCATTAGTCTATGGTTGTGGGGTTCAGCTGCAGGTAGGGGACAAATCGTTGCACTTTAACTTTATACGCACACACATATTATTAAACATTAAAATTTAAAAGTAACAGTCTGTGTATATACAATTCTAACCTGCCCAAGATACTAACTTAAGAAACATGAATAAATGATTGTATGCATGAGTTCAAATAAAAAGGACAAAGAAAGTTGACAAGAGAAGCAAGCGAAGATTTCTACTTTCAGTAATGATGCAAAGCATTTTCTTCACATAGACATGGTTTGTGTACTACGCCAGAGTATTAAC